GAAATGCGCAAGTTTCATTTGCCGTTTATACATCAGCTCTTTTGAAACTTGAAATAAGTTTCTGCTGATATAAGAACCTCTTTCTAATCAAGATGTAAGATACATTTGAGTTTACTTTTAAAAACGTAATTATATTTGCAGAAATGTGATTACATTTCCATGCAGAAAATTTTCAATATACGCTGAGACATGAATTGAGTCATAAGTATGAATAAAACAACCTGTCATCGTGTTTTGATCAAAGTCACGTTTGAACGCAGTAATATATAGGTATTTTGACAAACCTTGAAGAAATGTGATACTTTGTTACTAACAATATACCATTATTAACAAGTCGCACGACATGCAGTTCATTATTAATTATGCACTTGTGAATGATACGCATTTTTGTTTCAATTGCGCATATCATAGTTAATAACGTGTTATAATAAGAAATTGTCATCGCGATAACACTCCGATAAATCACGATACTGTAAAATGAGATCTGAATGAGCAAAGTTCAAGCGCCAAGAATCGAGAATTGCACCCTCGTGATTACATCGCTTTTCTCGAATTGACATTTCCCTTCTATTTTCATTGGACACAAATCAAATTTCGATGCGAGGAGTTGCTGATTGAAAATCAAAGGCCGCATTTCCGCGCAGCTACCGAGATTTCCCTCTGTCACAAACGTTGCGAAAACGGAGCACGGATTTATTCACGCGTGGAAAGTAAACCTAGCAGCTCAGTAGTAGCACACTCGGATTAGAATTGATTTCGATTTTGCATTGTAAATTTAAGAAGAAATCGTTGATGGAAAATCAAGGATTGCATTATCATTTTTAAATTGAATTTTTCACATTTTCCTCCACTTGTTAAAGTGGAGAGACTCGCAAATATATCGGATCACCAATTTTAACAAAAACATCGTGCACGTACACACAATTTTGATATACTTAACATCATAATGTTTTGTTAGCACTTATCACTCGCGATAAATTTTTCTCGCCGCACAAAAGAAAAACAGTAAACGATTATACAACAGACGGAATTAAACTCACGTAACTAGCATTTTTCGAGCTGATTTCCACATTCATTGCAGGTTAGATTCACGAATTTATCCAAATTTAATGAGTCATCATCATTATATCCAACTTTAAATTCTTTGCACAACATTATCATTTACGATGTACTTACTGGAAACTTAAGTACACTATTTTTACAACTTGCAAATATTATATCGATCGGGATATTTAATCTTTCACACAAAACACTAGTGAAAAATGTAAAACGTTAAATACGTATATAAGAATTTCCTGTTTTCTATGTTTGTCACTGATTATTATTGACTATTATCTAAATATTTCACGCGTATCTAAAAAAAATATTTGCACAGATTCTTCTAACATAAATGATTATTTAATTTTTTCTTAGAATGAGAATTTTTATTAAGACAAATATATCTTCACAATAGATATGTTAAATTCAAAATTCGATATTTCTGGAAAGACTCTCATGTTTATATCGAATCAAATTTTTCGCAAACATCTCAATTGAAAATACGCAAATTCAATGCGTATTCATCGACGTGAATACTTATTATTATAGGAATCGACAGTCATATTTTTACGATCTTGCGAATTTAAAAATGTGATCCTTTTAACATTTTTACAGACAAATCAAAGCGGAACAAATACTGACGGAAAAGAATGATATATAGTCACCAATCACATTTTCGCGATCTCATGAATTTTAGAATTCGCCGTTCTCTACATTTTCTGTGCTTATTACATCCGCTGTTATCTAAACTATGCATACACGTCGCACGTTAAAGCACATGAATGTTTGTACTTTTCGTGGAAAAAAAAAGGATAGTAAAATCAACGATAGTATCTCTGCGATTCGACGAATTTAAAAAATTCTGTTATCCCGGTAATTGCATTCATCGTTACATAAACGTGCAGCGTAGGTGAAATATATGAATTTAATGCTGGAATCAGTGATGCACACGACATTTGTAGTCCACGCACAAAAATATGACGGAATTGATGATAGCGTTTCCATAATCCCGATTTAAAGCTTTGCACGTTTTTCAATATTTTCTGTCGATTCCGACCAACATTATTTAAAGTCATTCCACTTGTAATTTCTACGCGTATTCGAAACATAGCACGGCTCGGTCAGCGCATATTTATAACTCGCGTATGCAAGATATGATAAAACTGACAGCTCCCTATCATTTTCATTCAATGTTTTCCGCAACCAGGCAACTAAGAAAATTCAATTTTTCCACATTTCCGGATGGTTATATCTGTCGCACAGATATAACCATCTAGCCAGAGGCAAATTGACGCACGTATTTAACGTGGATAGACAAGACACGATGATAAAATTATTATCAGTTTTTATCGCACACGCACTGCTCAAAAAATTAATAAAAGTATTCACGTTTTTAAAAAATTTTTAATGCAATTTACAAAACGTCAGTCCTTTTTGCGCTGTCCAAATAATTCGAAAATAACGTGTTTTGAAGATTTTTCCAAGCAATTTATATGTCACATCTATCATCCAAAAAAAAATGATAAAATCGATCCTTTATCAATCCTTTTCGCACTATCTGAAGAATTCGAAAGTAGTCGCGTTTTTTAAGGGTCTTCAAACAATTAATATGTCGTTATCTAGAAAATTATGAAATTATCGGTCCTTAAAAAATGTTAAAATTGTCAGTATCCTTTTCATAGTGTTCAAAGAATTCAAAAGTGCTCGTGTCTCAATTTTCCAAGGGATCTACGCCTATCCGTCACACCTATCCTTATATAAAAAATGATAAAATTTTCAGTCTTTTTCACATGCTCCAAGAATTTAAAAGTATTCGCGTTTTTTTAAATTTTCTAAATGATTTCACGTCGTTATTAAAAAATGATGAAATTATCGATCCTTTTTGAATTATTTAAAGAATTTAAAAGAACACGTATTTTTAAGATTTTAAATGTTATATCATGTTATCTAGAAAATGAAATTATCGATCCTTTCCATATTGTCCAAAGAATTCTGAAAAGTACACGCGTTTTTAATCCTCCGCCGGCTAAGTTGCGAACTTTGAAGGCACAGTTGATGTTTTGATTGTAAATTTCAAGGTTGTGCGTTTACGCATAAATACAATAATTCGCATCTACTTGTGTAAACCATATTTTACGTGTCACTTCACAAACAAAATGTGAATCATCAAAGTCTTGTATTATTTATTGTACTAAACTGCACTGAAGCTTCTTATATATTTTTATATATTAATACCAAAGTCAGATATATTAACAATCATAGAATTTATTTCGTTCTGCGAATAGTATTACCCAATTTATATGTTTTTTATTGTCTATATAAAATAAATTCCATATAAATGTAATCTTGAAATATGGCACAACTTTTATAAATTCTAGCAGATAAATTTATTTAAATCTGTCAAACAAAAGTAAGTAAAATGCAATCCGGATTTTATGATAGCAAAAACTCATTGTAAAACTTTTGTACATGCAAGAATTTTTTCCAGATTTTACACAGTCCAGAACAACATAAATTTGTATTAAAGCTCTCAAAGATTCAGATTGCCGTTAAAAAGTGCAAAATTCCACAAGTCCGATAGAGGGTTAAGATTTTTCGATCAATCCACACGTCACATCTGTCCAAAAAAATCGTCAAATTGTCAATCCTTTTCCACATTGCCCAAAGAATTCGAAGGTGTGCGCGTTTTAAGGATTTTCCAAATGATCTACACACGTCACATCGTTATTCAAACCTATCGCTTCAAACGAGCACACTTTTTTTTTGTCGCACAAAAAACGTAAAATCAACTATCGTATTTTCGCGATTTCTGTCGAATTTGCTCTTTTGCCGTAAATTCACACGCAGTGCACGACTGATTCGAAGCGGTCGGTCATTTGTTTTTCTGTTCTTCCGTTTAACCCGCTCCGAGAGAACGTCGAACTCCGATACGCGAAATCCGAAATTATAGTTCACCGTGTTCGCGTTCCGAGTTAAACGCGGATGAAAATTCGAAAGCGAGATTTTCAAGGTCGAAGGAGAACAAAGTAAAAACGTTAAACGCGCCGTTTGAAGAAATTTGATTCCCTCTGTAGTGAATAGAACGTGTTTAAAATCTCTCTGTATTTCCATCACACATTAGATAATTAAATCGCGCACACGCGTTTGTTATTGCGAGTTTCCACTACACAATTTTCATCGATAGCTGACACACGAAATTCGATGTCGCGTACGTACGTAAATAACGATAATTTCTCCGTTTATGTTGCGCTTATAGGACGTTACACTAATAAAGACACATGAGACAGATACGTCAACAAATAATGATTGCAAAAACCAGGCGTCGAGATGACGCGGCTCGCAACAAATATGAATCCTTGATTTTCCATCGATACGATTCTCCATCACATTTTTGACATTTAAATTCCGTTTTCGGGAAACACTACGAAGTAACTTCCACCGGCAAGGATATCTCTCACTTTCCACACGCGAGATTGAAGAGTAAAGCACTAAAAAAAAAAAAATATATCGGCGGCTGTACGCTTCCGCGATCGAGAGAGCAGCGTCCGAGATCGGAGTGTCCTTCGCTCCGAAACGAACGCAACGCATCGCACCGGCGAGTTCACCGTTAACGGGCCAATTTCCGACCGACGTACTCCGATGTCGGACAGCGCTTTCGCATTTTCCACTTTCACGTCACAGAAGTTCATAGGACACGGGAGAAAATATTTCGTGTGTGCGTAAACACGCGCGGTTCGCCACATTCCGTTCCCGTCGCTCCGAGTTGGAGAGCTCGATTTCAAATCTCGATTGGACATGAATCGATGCCAACGGTGCGCGCTCCGATTACCTGCGACGTCACCGTGAATCGGAAAAACATCCGTCGTTTTTGAATGTTGGAAAAAGATGGGGGAAAAAGTACGATCGCGGAGAAGAGTACAGGCACCGAGATTGTCGGAAAAGCCGTTTTATACGGTACTTACGAGACAGAGGATGCGGAGATCGGTGAAACCGTAGCACATCGCACAGAAAGCAGAGAAACCGAAAACTAAAAATTGCGTCTCACTGTCACCGTCACACCGAAAAAACACACTGCTCGAGGTTCGAGCCTCGTTACATTCCAATCTCGGTACTTCCGGGAATTTGAGAACTACACGTCCGTCGGGACGATCCAGGCGGCGCGGAATGTTGATCGAGCGATCTCGGGCCGAGGCACGTTCTGCCGACGGCCGCGATCTTCGGTTGCGTTACGCTCTCTCGGAGTTTTCCACCGTCCGGCTATCCGGATCTCCAAAGGACTTCCTCGAGAACGGATCCTGGGAACGAGATCCCGGAGCGATCACAGCTACGCGTCGATTCGCGGGATCGTACGATACGACGAAAAGACGCTTTTCACAGCGCGTATACACTTGAAATTGGCCGTCGCGCTTCACCGTGTCGCACAGTAGTTACAAATCTCCATGATGGAAAATCACGGCGAGGTGAACGGCGGCGAGTCGACACTGACGACGACGACGATGGTGAAGGATAACGAGGACGCGAGTGACACCCGTCGCGGCGCGACTACAAGGGGAACGGTAACGCGCGGCAATACATTCCCTTTGGCGGCGACGGAGCAACTGAGCGAGCGCAGGGGACAAGAGAGCGTCTCTCCCCACCACTTGCCGAACGACTGCGGTGGCGGCGGCGGCGGTGACTCCCCCCTTCTCCGTCACCGTTCGGCCGCACTCGGCTCTTCTCGGCCCTTCACGAAGCCAGCCGCGCCGAGTCCTGCCCGCGCGCCCGCGCTCCCTCATTCTCGCTTCTCGCGCCGAACTTGAAGTCGGTTAAAGATGTTTCTCTCTTCGCGGTACTACGCGTCTCCTTCTAGCGGTCGTGTAAACGTAGCGTTACGTTGGAATTTTCATCGCGTCTGACTCTCCGAATGTCGTATCACAGCTCGCGATCGCGATTATTCTCGCGCGACCGAGTTTGTATCGTAGTCCTCGCTATGACATATACGCATTTACATGATCAAAATTATCTGACGATCCGAGTCACGCCGACATTTTGAACGAGAAGAAAACTCTCTGCTTATACATACGTATTCTTATATTCGATCGTGATTGGTCAATTCTTACAACTACAATCGCTTACAATGGGCTGCTTAAGCTTTTATGTGCCATTGAAGTCTTAATTATATGATATTAATCAGAATTCAAAATGGCGTCGATGCATAGCGCGGACGGTTACATTGAAATTTAAAAGGTAGCTGTTTGGTAACTGTGTGCGACGAAGTTAGAAATCGCACGATACCACAAAGTTCCGAATATCGTTCCCGATGGACCGGCTGAATGCATAGTTCATCGATATCTCACTCCGAGAGAGTAATAGTCGCGATTCACATTCGCATGATCCGTTATCACGTGCGTGATTTACAATGTTTGAATTCGTGACTTCGCGTTCGATTCGTATCAAACAGACGCTTTCGCCCAAATACAGCGTATTCGTTTTCTTCAACTGATGATTTCAAAATAATGTAAGTATTTTTATCATCCATCAATTCCTGGTATTAGCATGTATCGAGGAAGCGTTCAGTTTTTTAGCTTTATTCGTTGTTTGTTTTTTTGGCAGTGAGGAGGTCGCATCACACTACAGGATACAGATAATAACAAGGATCATCAGAATCGACCTCGTCTCCTGTTCTATATCGTTCTGCATTCTTTCCGTATTGCGTAATCAATTTGCAGGTAAGTACCGTATTAATTACTGCTATTATTTGTAAATTAAAAATACAAGATATAAATAACGAGAATGATGTACGTGAGAATAAAATCACATTAAGATCCTACAGATAAATTTGATGATAATATCATGTGATATTATATTTATATATTTATTGGAAAGAAATGTTTCGAAAGACATGATATATATAAAATGCACTTTATCATTTTGTATTTTTAAATTTTTTGTATAATTCTTTCTTTAATTCTCCGAATACTTTATATTTTTGTGTTTTTACATAGCTTTTCTCTTATCTTATATTTGCTTTTTTTATTCGCAAAATATGTAAAATTAATATGAAATTTAATTTACATTTATATTCACATTAAAATTTATAAATTTATAATGGATGAAAAAATAGAAGAGTTTATGATAACAATAATAATATGAAATCTTATAAATTTACGGAGGCAGAAGTTTCTTTTATGAAATATTGTTTAACCAATATGTAGAATATCTGCTACTTGTTTAACTGGCTTACTTATTATTTATTACTATTGCTTTCCAATTTCAATATTGTTTACAAGTAAAACAACAGCATCACAGAATATTTTAGCAATCACATAAGTGAGAAATAAAGTATTGTTTTCATTGAAAAAATATTTACCTCTCATACAGACACATTTTATTTGACAAAATAATAGTTATACATTCATAAGTTTTATTGTTCCCAACATTACTTCTGAAATTATTAATGCATTCACTTTTAAAAAAATATCGAAATCGTCCACAACAAACGGAATGAAAGGACGAGTTTATTCAGCGATGCTTGATTTTTATTATCATATTTTAATAAATGGACATGTCCATTAGTCAACTTTAAATTAACTGATACAAATGTATTATGGTACCAAGTTTTTTTCATAACATTACTTATTATTTATATTTTAAAAATCATTTAAATGGAAATCGATTTTCCTTTTACGAAAATTTAATTAGGGTGCATCTCTTCTCTTATTTTTCCCATGTTTCACATTAAATATTTTTAAAACAAATAATTTAATTATTAAAATTGCCAAATATATATATATTTGCGTGTATATATATAAAATTTCATTTTATCATCAGCTTTAACTAAAAACTTCCAATCCCGATTGTTTAATTAAAAAAGTTCAGTATTCTAGTATTCTTAACGAAAATCTGATTTTTAAAAAGTATAAATTGTACAAACAATTTTAAATGAAGTTTAAAATGTATCAATATTAAGAACTTAATGTTTCTTTAGCGATGATCGCATGTTTCCGGTGAGCAATACCGGGCGAGATTTCTGCTAATTTACACTTCCGTAATGAATGGCGATGGAAGGCGTTTCCATGCCTCTTCATCCGTCTGTTCGCTGCCATATCAGGAAAATCGTTTAAACCGGCGCGTCCGCCTTCGCGTTTACAATAAATTACCGCGCGAGGTGCAAGTGGCAGACGGGAAATTATCCACGACGAAGGAAAACAATCCAAGGGAGAGGTCGCAAACTCCCTCGCATTTAAACGCACGTCTGTCTCGAAAACTGTAGAAAACATCGGGAAGTTTCTGTTGACGTGGACTATGTTCCACCTTCGCTTTTCTCACCTTCACTTATTTAGTCTTTTGAATGAATTAACGAAAGTTAATTCTATCTTTGCTCTTTTGATAAAATACAAAGTAATAATTTAACTATTATATAATAAATAGAGTTATAAAAAAAAATCACAATACATCTAAAAGGAAATACATTTAAAAAGAAGACAAATATAAAAATGAAGTTGTCATTAATTTATACATTTATTTTAAGATCAATTTATATTTGATTTCTATCATTTATTCAGTATCTTATCGATTATCGAAATATAAACTTTATTATACATATAGTTCTAGTATCATCTATTTAAAATTTGTCTTCTTATTCACAATTATTACTAGCTTGAACCTTATTAATATTCACACATTTTTATTCAGAGAAACAACCTGTAATTTGATAAATTGGCATCTGTCATCAAAGTTAAGAAAGAAGGAATGTATTATATAAAAAAAGAATATTTTTTTTAGTGCTATACGTGTTTCATACGAATCGACATGATTTTATTAGACGTATAATTATCGATAGTTTATATTGTGCTGTATTGTTTGGAAAGGAAATGGTATTGAACCGCGAATTCCCGTTCTATTGCAAACTTGAATGTACACGTAACATGCACATTAATAACTTTATGATCGTGTTATACGCTTCACATTACGAGACAAACGTATCATGGCGAAACAACGACGCAAGGCCTAATAATTATTTCACATCCCTATAACCGTTGAATTTTTAAACAATGCAGCAAATCTTAACATCATAGTTAATTCTATTATTGTTCTCTAACATAATTTTGTGTACATAATAGAAGGTAATAAGAGGTTAAATATTTCATTTCTCGAGCAATTTTAAAATTTAATTTAATGGAGATGTTATATTTTAGCGTAAAAAAATTTGTTTGATTGAATAAAATTTTATAACTCTAATTACACACATATATGTATATACATATATGTATGTATATATTATATACGCGTTAATAATGTTTATGAAACTCAGTGTTTAACTTCGTTTTATATTATTCTTTATACTTTCAATAGTTAAATTATATATTGTAGGCTTATTTTTGCGTTGCTGTTTAGTTAAAGTGCCTGTTCGATTTCGAGTTCGATTCGCGATCCGTCATGTCCAAATATGGTAATATAAGGAGGGAATGGAAAATTCCTGAATTCGGGAGCTGACGGGTTTTTCCGTAATCGGCGATTGGTCCCCCGCGGCTTGTGATCGCGTGTGATTGGTCATCGTCCTGCGCCCTCCCGCGAAGGAGGAGCGGGTCTCGCGATCGCGAGGGGGAGCGAAGCAGTTCTTGGTAGAAATCGAGCGGAATCGAACACGTGTCCCGGCGAAAAAAAAACTCGGCAGTTCTTGATAGCCACATACTTTCGACAAGGGCAACACATGTTGAATTGTACACTTGAGGAAAAAATAGCCTAATTTTAAATATTTATTTAATAAATATTAATTTTTAATATTTATTTAATAAAAAGAAGTGATTGTTAAATCAAATTATAATTCTTTCTTGTACCAAATAAATATATTTTTGCATTTAATAAATATTTAGTTACTATTCAAATAAGTATTTATTAAAATTTAAGATATATATTTTTCTCTCAGTCGTTTTATAAATGAAATGACATAATAGCCCACAATATATATTCTATTTTTTTCTATGCTACCCTTAAATTCTCTTTGTTCTATCCAAATTAAATTTCTCACCATTGTTTTTCTATTATTTTTGTCTTTGAAAAATGTCAGTCTAGTTATACTCAATATCGATA